AGTCCTCCAAGAATTTCTTCATGTATTTGGGTGCTCCTATGTTGGGTGCATATATATTTACAATGTTAATGTCTTCTTGGTGGATTCTTCCCCTGAGTATTATGAAGTGACCTTTTGGGTTTCTCTCTATGGCCCTTTTTTGAAGTCTATTTTGTCTGATATGAGTATTTCTACTCTGGCTTTTTTTTTCCTGTCTACTTGCTTGGAATATTTGTTTCCAGTCCTTCACTTTCAATCTGTTTAGGTCTTTTGTTCTGAGCTGGGTGTCTTGTAGGCAGCATGTACATGGGTCATGCTTTCTTATCCATTCAGTTTTCTACATATCTTGATTGAAGCAATTAATCCATTTACCTTTAAGGTTATTTTGGAAAGGTACTTATTCATTACTGTATTTTCATGCTTGTGTTTCTTTCTCACTGTTCTCCTTCTTTTTCTTAAAGTAGTCCCTTTAGCATCTCTTGCAGAGCTGGTTTCATGGAGGTGTATTCTTTTAGACTTCTTTTGTCTGGGAAGGTCTTTATTTGGCCTTCCATCTTAATTGAGAGCCTTGCTGGGTAGAGTAATCTTGGTTTCAGGTCTCTGGTTCTCATTACTTGGAATATTTCTTGCCATTCTCTTCTGGCTTGGAGCATTTCCATTGAGAATTCAGCTGCTAGCCTTATTGGGGCTCCCTTGTATGTTACTCTCCATTTCTCCCTTGCTGCCTTTAAGATTCTCTCTTTGTCTTGGAATTCTGCCATTTTAGTTGTGATGTGTCTTGAGATAGGCCTCTTTGGGTTCCTCTTGATCGTGACTGTTTCCTGGACTTGTGTGACTTTCTCTCATCAAATTAGGGAAGTTTTCCATCATTACTTTTTCAAACAGGTTTTCTATTCCTTGCTCTTCTTCTTCTCCTTCTGTTATCTCTGTTATACAGATATTGTTGTTTCATGTTGTCTTGGAGCTTCTTTACCATGTGTTCATTCTCTCTGAGCCTCTTTTTCTTTTCTTGCTCTATTTGGGTGCTTTTTTCTATCTTGTCATCCAACTCGCTGATTTGATCCTCTGCTTCATCCAGCCTGCTTGCAATTCCTTCTAATATGTTTTTTCTTATTTCTGAGATATCCTTGTTCATTTTTCCTGTGTTTTTTTTGTTTATAGTTTGTATTTCCTGTTTTATGATGTAGTTCTTGCTCAGTTCCTTGCAGTTGTCTGTGATTTCCATGAGCATCTTTATAACCATTATTTTGAATACTATATCTGATAGTGTGCTTACCTCCATTTCATTTAGCTCTTTTAGTAGGGAGTCTTCCCTTCCTTTTAATTGCATGTTCTTTTTTTCTCCCCATTTTAGGGGACTCTTTTTGTTTGTTTCTGCAATTCCTGATGTTTCACTTTGCTAGCTATCTTTGTAGGGTGAACATCTATGGTAGGAATTCTGTGAGGTACAGTGGTGGTGTTGTCCCTTTGATTGCCTTGTCTGGGTGCTCTAGGTTTGCCCTTTCTTCTGTTTGTGTGGGCTCTCTTGGTGTACGTGGGTTTTTACCTTTAGTGGTTCTTTTGTTGGTGGTTTTCCTCCTACAGCAGGTATACTGATGTTCACAGCTCCTACCTATTCTTGTATGTGATCAGTGGCAGGGGGTAGGCAAAATGGATTAAGACAGTAGGAGAGTATTTTATGGGATTTAAAGTACCAGCAAGTACAGAAGTGATGGGAGATTCTTTGGATAAGCATAGTGTTAACTATGATATTTCACCCAACTAGCAACTTTTTCTAAAAGGTGAAAGAGAGATAAGACTCTTGTTAGAGGGGAGGAGGATTGTGAACTGAATCCAGAAATTGGGGTGCTTGTGCAAGGTTAAATGATGAGATATCATGAGATTAAAGGATAGAAAGTAGGCATAGTGTGAGCGAGAATAGAGTTAGCCACAACAATAATAATGCTCAGGATTAAAGTGACATGAGCTAAGATCAGGGATGGTTGCTATGTAGTATGTACAATTGTATGGAATGATAATTATTTACAATAGTACTGGAACGACAATAATATGACAAAAATGTATGATTGGGATAACCAGAATAGGAAGTACACTATCATGAGTTGTGTGTTATTGGAACATGGGTGAAGTGTAAGAAGGAAAATTCAAATACAACGGAGAGAGAATAAGGGAAACCAAACAATACAATTAAACAGGGAACTAAAATGAGGAAAACCAAGCATAAGGAAGAGAAAAATGCTAATAAAATAAAAGTAGTAAATATAATGGCAAGGTAATAATAATACACATACACAATAAAATGCCAGCTTTATGGGATACTAAAGTGACATTTGTCTCAGTTTTTCAGTTTTGGGGGTTAGCCTTGTGATCCCGCTTTTGATCTGTCTCTGGACCCTTTGTAACTACAGGTCTTATTGTCTTACTTGGGGGAAGAGAAAAAAGGGACAAAAAAGAGAGAGGATCCAAAAAGAAAAAAAAAGATTAATAATAAGATTCCTGCTAACTTTAAAACTGTTCAGTGAGTTCTGCTGGTGTTCCTAGATGCCACAGGAAGAGGGTGGCTGTGCTTCACTTTTCTCCCTTCCTATGGTTTTGAGAGGATGGGGACCAGGTCTGAGTCAAAATATTCACAGTTTCCAGGTCTCAGGCTCAAGACCTCCTTGAGCTACCAGGCTCAAATCAGCCACTCAGCTGCTCATAGCATGAGTCAATTTCTGGTGCGGAGCCCAAAACAAGTGGGACATACCTTTCTGCTCACCCACTCAATCTGGGCGCGAAGTGTGTAACAAACGGGGTGCATGGTTCTGCTCAGCTACTGTCTCTGGGCACTCAGTGCAAGGCAAGTGGGGAGTATGGTCTGCTTAGCCACTCACTGGGCCCACAGTGCAAGACAAGTGGGGCTCATGGTTTGGCTCAGCTACTGTCTCTGGGTGCGTGCAGCTGAAATCACCCTTGGGGCGAGCCAGCAGCTGCTGGGGAGTTCCTTATAAAGCAGCTGACCACAGTTTTTAACAAGCGCATGGCTTTTCACACAGCCCAACTTTCCAACCAGTCTGGAGACTATCCGAGTCAGGTCTGACACGGCTCAATGCCTCCCTTCTTCAGGTGTCACCCAGCACCCCAATTTCTCTGGTACCAGTGTCCGCAGTCTCAGAGGATGTGTATCACAAGTGTGTGTCTCCAATTTTGTCTCTGTTCCCCCCCAGTGACTTCCAGCATCCAGGTGCCTCCTGTTGCTGGGCTGCCCTCCATGCTCTGGTAGAGGAGGGAGCTGGTGCTCTAACTCTCCTCCCTCTATCTTGTGGCAGGTGCTGGGCCAGGGGCCGCAGCAGCCTTGATGCCTGCACAGATCCCAGGGACTTTACTGTCCCAGCGCTATGTCCTCATTGTCTATTTTTCAACGTCCTCTGCAATTTTTTGCCTCTAAAGCTCATATAAGCTGGGATTCTGTTGGCTGTTCACTCTGTTTCTCAGAAGATCAGCTAGGTGTTCCCACTGGGCACGGAGAGAACTGGGCTCTGTTCCCACCTATCTTGCTGCCATCTTCTGACCTATTCATAGGTATTTTATTTTTCTTGTTGCTATAGGAAATGGGATTTTTTTTTCCTGATTTCTGTTTCTGATATTTCCTTCTTGGTATACAAAAATGCCTTTGATTTCTAAATATTGACTTTGTACCCACTGTTTTGCCAAATTCATTTCTTAGGCTGAGCAGTTTTTTTGGTGGAGTCTATAGGATTTTCTATGTACACTATCATGTCATCTGCAAACAATGACAGTTTTGTTTCCTCCTTTCCAATTTGAATGCCTTTTATTTTCTTTTCTTGTCTGAGTGCTGTGGCTAGGACTTTCAATACTATTTTGAATAGAAGTGGTGAAAGTGGACAACCTTGTCTTGCCCTTTGTCCATTTTTAACTGGATTGTTTGTCTTCCTGTAGTGGAATCGTGTGAGTTCTTTATATATTTTTTAGATCAAACCCTTGCCCAAGGTATCACTGGCAAATATATCTTCCCATATGGTTGGTTCCCTTTTCATTTTGTTGATGTTTCCCTCAGCTGTGCAGATGCTTTTTAACTGTTTTTTTTTTCAAATTGAAACAACTACCATATGTTTACCATTCATTTTCAAATTGTTTCAAAGGTCTGTGGGGTCTAATTATGGTGTCACCTTGGTTGGGGGATTTACTTTCTGAATCTCTGTATTCACAAGGTTTAAAATAGGAAATATCACTCCAATTAATTAAATTAATTAATAAATAAACAATAAATAAAAATAAAATAAAAAGGAAGTATCTCTGTAGTGCATGAGTTTAATAAATGATCCAGTTAGGTGAAACTTCAAGGGACACTTGGTGGCAACAGGTTGTCCCTACTCCTACCTACCTAGGCATTTTGGTCAACAAGAATAGAAGGAGCAAGAACCTGAAGCCCAGGTCATAAGAATTCAGACAAGTAACAATCAGGAGATTCCTGGGGTTTGAGTCTGATGGAAGAATTCAGGAGAATGTCTTGTCTCTGTGTTTCTCCTTGAGTATGTGTTAGAAGACAGAACAGAGAAAGAGAGTACCTAGGCCCGAGTCCTGGGCAGCCCACTGGCTGTGTGACCTCAGGCAAGGCCCTTGATCTGCCAGGGCCTCTATTTCTTTATCTGTAAAGTGCAGCCTAGGGGTCCATCCACCAAATATGTATACACTGCCTGCTCTGTGCCAGGCATTGAACTAGAAACAGGTCTTTGTCCTCATGGAGCTTTACACTCTAGTGAGGAAGACAAATAACAGGCAAATTAATAACAAACGTATGATTATGCATGGCCTTTGCAGAGCTCAGGACATGCAGGTCTTGAGAATCCCACGCTTTAAAGAGCACAAAACTGGGGACTTAGCACCTCTTCAGTGTCTCCACTCTGGCAGACCACTAGACCCAGCGAACCTTATATTAACATGAATCTGTGGGGCTCACCACCAAAATATCCAGTCAGAATTTCTGGAGATGAAGCCCTTAATGAAATCAACCAACCAACCTTTCCTTTCTTGTTTGGCCCAGAAAATTTTGACACGTTCGCGAATGTGCTTGTCCTCACGCAGTTTCTTCTGCCACTGACGTAATTCTTGAATTTCAGGATCACAGCGAACCTGGAAAATCCCCATAAGGCTTTAGTTCCCTTTCTACTTTTCTATACTTCAGCTTGTTAGCCCTGCATAGAAAATCCATGACAAGCCAATTTGATAGACTTTTGATTCTAAATAAATTATCTCTACTCCTAAAAAGCTTATGTAAAATCTGAACATAAATGAGGTTGTGTGAAGATTTGCAATTCTCACAGTGGGTGGAAAACATTCTAAATCCATGCTTTCCAAAAGAAATATAATATAGCTGCATATGTAATTTTAAATTTCCTTGCAGTCTCATTTTACAAAGTGAAAATAAGCTAGTGACATTGTTTTTAATATGTTTTATCTGACCATAGAGATCCAAAATATAATTTCAACATACCATCAATATAAAAACATTACTTATAATTTCACTTTCTGCTTTCCATACGAAGTCTTCAATATCTCATATGTATTTATACTTACAGCACATCTCAAGTTGGACTAGATTAATTTTAAGTACTCAATAGCCACTTGTAGCTGGTGGTTATATACTAGACAGGAGAGTTCTAGATTAATCACAGTTAATATATCAATCACAGTTCTGTTTAATACCAATTTACTGAGTGCCTACTGCATACTGGAATTTATGCTAGACATTGGGAATACAGATATAATTAACAGTAATTATAAGTATTAATTATATTTTATTACTGTAGCTCATATTATTGAGCATGTATGTCCCAGGCATTGTTTAAGTATTTTAGAAATTTTAATCAACAAAACAACCCAATAAAGCGGGAATGATTATCCCCATTCCACTGAGTTTAACAGCTTGCCAGGTCACAGAGCTAGGAAATGGTGGAGTTGGGATTCAACCATAGACAGACTGTTTTACCTGTCCTTGAGGGAGTCTAGTAAGAGGCACGAGGTAGACCAAAGTATGACTAATGAGGTGTGGTAAGACTAAGAATATCATGGGTACAAGGGAACACAAAGTGGGCACTGAACTCAGCCTGGAATGGTCAGGAGACATTCATGGAGGAGGTGACCTCTTGGCTGAGTTTTGAAGGATGAACTACAGTCAGCCGTGGGGTGGAGGGGGTGGAGTGTAATGGTGTTCCAGGGAGAGACCCAAGCCTGTGCAAAGGTGATGAGGAGTGAACAATCTTGGCTGATCCAGAACTCCAAGGTGAGAAAGCAGTAGAGGACACAAAAACCACAGCCACTCACACCCAACTCCTTTCTGCCTCTTCCTTCTACTTCTAGACTGGTTGGACAATGCTCCTCGTGAGGTGAATTCCCAGACTAAAATGGATTGATTTTATGTATGTGGGTATATATCAACTTCATTTTGAAAGATATGTTAAAGTTTCAACGAGTCCTGAAAGACAGCTTGAGAACTATATCCCCATGATAATGAATTCCCGACTCAGCTCTTTAGATCAACTATAAACATAGTCACTTTGGGGCATTCCTTGTTTAATGGATTCTGTTCAATTAAAACATGGTAGTAGTTTTTTATATTCTGGAGGAAGATGTACCTACATTGGAACTAGTATGTGGAACTGAGGTTGTCACACACTGCAAGTCCAGATCAGTGTGCCCCTTTCTAGGCAGTGGCCCTCTCCCTTCTATCTGGGGATCCCAGGTGCCCAAAGAGATTTATTCCTCTCCTCTTGAAGCCACAACTCAGACCTGCTGACCTGACATCCAGAAACTGGTGTCTCAGCTGCTGAGAGGGATGCAGGATGTGCTGAAGCAGAAATGGGAATCTCACATACCCATAGGATCCAGCATTTTATGTCAAATGAATGAAGAAGCACCAGAGAAGACAAACAGGAGAGCAAAGCCTTGTCTAAAGGGGAAGTTCCTCCCCAGCCGTACTGCATGTGATAATGTCACAGTCAGGGGCCAACCTCCTGCTTTTCTGGAGTGCCATTGGGTCTTGTGGCTTCCTACTCTAGTCATTGGGATTCAAGTTTCCTACTGTGATCACTGCAAATATTCGACTTTTTAAGTGTTTTTTATTGATTATGCTATTACAGTTTTTCCAATTTTCCCCCTTTATTCCCCTTACACACTGCCCTCCCCCACCCTCCAGCATTCCCCCCTCCTTAGTTCATGTCCATGGGTTGCACATACAAGTTCTTTGAGTCTCATGTTTCCTATATCATTTTTTATATCTGCCCATCTATTTTATGCCTCTTAATTATGCTTCTTTTTCCTTGTACTTTCCCCCCTTATTCCTCCCTTCCCTCTCCCCATTGAACTCCCTCCGTGTGATATCCATTTCTCTGATTCTGTTCCTATTCTGGTTGTTGGCTTAGTTTTTGCTTTCATTTTTTTTTCTTTTAGATTCATTTGTTGATAGTTGTGAGTTTGTTGTCATGTTACTGTTCATATTTTTATCTTCTTTTTCTTAGATAAGTCCCTTTAACATTTCATATAATAATGGCTTGGTGATGATGAACTCCTTTAATTTGACCTTATCTGGGAAGCACTTTATCTGCCCTTCCATTCTAAATGAAAGCTTTGCTGGATAGATTAATCTTGGATGTAGATTCCTTGCCTTTCATGATTTCAAATACTTCTTTCCAGCCCCTTCTTGCCTGCAAGGTTTCTTTTGAGAAATCCCCTGATAATCTAATGGGGACTCCTTTGTAGGTAACTGTCCCCTTTACTCTTGCTGCTTTTAGAATTTTTTCTTTGTCTTTAATTTTGGGTAACTTAATGATGATGTGCCTTGCAGTGTTCCTCTTTGGGTCCAACTTCTTTGGGACTCTCTGGGCTTCCTGGACTTCCTGGAAGTCTATTTCCTTCACCAGATTGGGGAAGTTTTCCTTCATTATTTGTTGAAATAAGTTCTCAATTTCTTGCTGTTGTTCTTCTCCTTCTGACACTCCTATAATTCGGATATTGGAATGTTTCAGGTTGTCCCAGAGAATGCTCAGCCTCTCTTCATTTTTTTTGGATTCTTGTTCCTTCATTCTGATCTGCTTGGATGTTTATTTCTTCCTTTTGTTCCAAATAATTGCTTTGAATCCTGGTTTTCTTCCTGTCACTGTTGATTCCCTGAATATTTTGCTTTATTTCATTTTGGACATCCTTCATTTGTTCTTTCATTTTTCTACCAAGCTCAATCAGTTCTATGAGCATTTTGATTATCAGGGCTTTAAATTCTCCATCAGATAGGTTGGCAATCTCCTCATTGCTCAGTTCTGAGGTTTTGCTCTGTTCTTTCATCTGGGCCATATTTCTTTGTCTTGGCACAGCTGACAGGTTGTAAGGGGGTGGGGTCTCCCTGGCTGGCATAGCTCAGTGGATTGACTGCAGGCTGCAAACCAAAGTGTCATAGGTTCGACTCCCAGTCAGGGTACATGCCTGGGTTGCAGGCCATGACCCCCAGCAACCGCACATTGATGTTTCTCTCTCTCTATCTCCCTCCCTTCTCTCTCCAAAAATAAAAATAAATAAATAAAAAGGGGGGTGGGGTCTTAGGTATTCACTCTGGCAGGGAAACACTCTTTGCTGCTCTGCTAAGGCACTGCCTGTCAGGAAGGGGCCGGAGAGGGAATAGTGTAGCTCATCTGCTCACCTGCTTGCCTGCTAGTCTGTAGCACACTTTTCAACTCTTGTGTGAGAATGGGAGAAACTCCCACTGCAGCAACCCTGACCATAGCCCACAGTCAGCTCTAAGTCTCAGTTTTTGCCTTAAGTCAGTCCCTCTCGTGTAGCCCACTGAGCTCTGCAGCCAGCCCCACCCCTCAGACACCTCTCCAACATTTTTCTGAGTCAGCTGCATTGTCTGCACCCTTACTAGTCTGGTTGTTTTGGTTGATTTTTTCTTTAATTCCTTGGTTGTTGGAGTTCCATGCAGTTTGATTTCCTGGCACTTTTAGCTGTTTATTGGTTTTAGATTGGTTGTTATCCTCTTTTTGGTTGTGCGAGGAAGCCAAGGGTTTCTATCTATGCCTCCATCTTGGCTGGAACTCCAAACATTTGAGTTTTAACTTTTTAGAGACAACCACACATCCAACTCTAGGACGAAAACACAATTCCTGAAAGGGCTAGATTGAGCCTGGTTTCACTATCAACCATTTCACAGTTGTAGAATCACCATTCCCTTTTGTTTCTCCCTAATCAATAGAAAGTTTCCTTCTTTCTTCTCATTTCGTAATTTGACTTTGGGGAGCCTATTGCCCCTCTCTCCCACTAGATTTTCATTAGAGTCACCAGTAACCCCAATTTTTAAAAAATTGTGATAAAATACACAAACAAAATTTACCATTTTAACTATTTTACAGTGTACAGTTCAGTGACATTGATTCATTCATAATGTTGTACAACCATCATCATTATCTAGTTCCAGAAGACTTTCATTGCCTCCAAAGGAAATCTCATATGCATTAAGCAGTCACTCCTCATTCTCCACTCTCCCCAGTCCCTGTCATCCACTAATCTCTAGTCTGCATACATTATTCTTAGTCTTTAGATCCAGAGTCTTTGTGGATTTGCCTATCCTGGACATTGTATTGAATCATCTAATATGTTACCTTTTGTGTCTGCATTCTTTCACTGAGCATATAATACTTTCAAGTTTCATCCACATGGTATCATGTGTCAGCACTTCTTTCCTGAACAAAATCCCATTGTATAATCATGACATATTTTGTTTATCCATTCACCCATTGATGGACTATTTTTAATACAGCTGCTAGGAATATTCATGTACAAGTTTTTGTCTGAACATTTATTTTCAATTTTTTGAGTATTTACACAGGAGTCAATTGGTAGGTCATAATTTCAGGATTAATTTATTGAGAAATCATCAAATGCTTTTCCCAGTGGCTGCATCATTTTATTTCTACCAGCAGTGACAAAGAGTTCTAATTTCTTCACATCCTTGCCAATATTAGTATTTCCCAATTTTAAAATTATTATAGCTATCATAATGGCTGTAAAGTGGTATCTCATTGTGGTTTTGATTTCCATTTTCCTAATGATTATGACATTGAGTATCTTTTCATGTGCTTGTTGGC